AATGTGGGTTAATCAAAAGTAGCTCCTAGTGAATCATGCGAAGGTAACACACTTTAAAAACTGATGGCATCAACAGTTTGCAGCTGTGTATGTATAGAAGAAAAAAAATATCACTGCTGCTGTGTATGCTACAGCTTGTGAGACTCTGGATTAGAAGACAGAAATACAGTAGGTGTACTTGGTAAAATATGTGGTACACTGGATATGAATTGGTTAACTAGAAGAGGTGGGGATTAGTAGGGAAATTGCTAACTAGGTAAGAAACTGGTAGAGTCAATGGCAGAGAGTAATTACTGCAGCGGAGTTTTGTGGAGTTTGCTCTTCCAACTGATCTTGCTTAATAAATTCAGAGATGACCTTGACACAGACAGAACAGTGTGAAGGAGGTTGTTGAGGACACCAAGTTGGGAGGTTGTGTCATTGTAGAGGACAGCCACAGTAGCACTTGGTGGCCTTGAGGACTGAAGTGATAGAAAAAGATAAAAATGAGAAATACCAAGTGAAAAGCAATGCTCTTAAAAGCTAATAAGAAATGTTTGTTAGATATGCTGGGGGTTTATCAGAAGGAAGTAAAATATTAGAATTAACTTTGGGGTATTAGTCAGTAGCAGGGTAGGTGTGTGTTTCCAGTGCAGTGTGACTGTGTAAAAGGCAGGATGACTCCTAGGACACATCAGATAAGGGAGCATCCTGCAGAAATGGGGTAATAGTTATGCTGTATTTATGTTGATAATTATCTTACTGATGAACACACTGGAGTAGTAAACACTGAAGAGGGAAGGAACTAGTGAAACTCTAGGGTTACATTAGCTAAGGAAATTATTTAAACTAGACATCACTAAAATTAGGCTGGGATTTGGGAGAAAGATTCTGACCATCTAGAGAAAACTGTTGGAACAGCCTCTGAAGTCATGCTTTCTGTCTAACTTATTTCCACTGAGCTTGACAAATTTATAGAGAGACAATGTGATACTGTATAATAACAATCCTTAATGTCTGCACTGCATTCTTGCTTTCTTCTGTGTTGGCTTGTAATTCATGTAGAATAGTTTGTGACATCTAGCGTCTTTGCCACATTGAGTACATAAAATGAACTCTACGTGCTTGGTGTGGTGAAAAGTAACTCCAAGTCTAGCTGTTGTACGTATATCTGTCACACCATGAGGGCTGCTATAGGGGAAAACCAATTCTGGCTCAGCCCGACCCGGTAGAACTGGTTTTGCTCAGGTGGCTGACTCTCCGTTCGTCGTCTTCAATCTGCTTATTCATCAGCTACTGAAAAAATTGGGCTGAAAATGTGTGCTTTTCCTGACACAGTGTCATGGTCATGTCACGTACTGCAGCAATGGCAGGTTGCTATTTGACTGGTGAGGCCACAGGCTTACTTGGTGACTCTAGTCATCATGTTCTTCTGCAGCATAGACAGACAAATTGAACTTCTTTTAGGCAATAACACACCTCTGGCAATAGGCAATGACATGCCTCTGGCCAGAGCTAGAGTCTGGTGTCATCCTGACATATCAAACTCATCTCTGCTGACTAGCATAGTTTTTTTTTCTTAGGTGGTGTGCCTAAATTATGTCATTCTTGATTACACCCTTGCTACAAGTGCTTCTGCTACCTTGCTAGTCAAACCTTCTAACATCAGTAGACTGCCCCTCCTCTGCCATTCCTTAGCCAGCTTCAGAATCTTTTAATCTTTTCTCAGGTAAATTCCTCCTGTGTCTGGCTCGTTTATTTGCTTTCTCTGAACTCACTCTGTGTAGTATGCATCTCTGTTAATGAGGTGTCTGGAAGTGAATGCAGGATTCCAAGGGTGATTAATACTTTTTTATGATGTGCAGCAAAACAATACTGGGGGGCCCTGGTAATGATAAGGACCTCATTGTGTTGGATAATAAACAGGGAAGATAATGACGACCTCTCTGTGTCATAACAAAATGCCTGTGTGCTTTCTTTGGTCTTTGCTTCTGTAAATCACTGCAACCTTTTGTCTAATTTGTGATGCACCTTCACCCCAAGGTCTTAAACAGCCTGAATGCATGCTGAATTCCTCTCCTGAGTAGAGGTTTTCATACGTTTGTTTTCTCATTTCACCTAACTGCGTTCTTCCAAAGTGAATTCTGTACATGTTATTTATCCAGTGGCCTTCTCAATAAGGGTGGAATAAAGGCCCATGGTGATGGGGGCACAGTACTGGAGAATTAATGTATATAAAGGTTTCATGTTTTTTTTCCTAAACTTTTTCTCTAGAAACATGAACTTCCTTTGTCTGAACTACAATTATAGGTTGCTATTCACGTATTACACTCTAAGCCCTAGAAGTATACTCTTCCTTTTTGGTTTAGAATTTGATGGGATTGATGCTTTCTATCTTAATTTACTTTTTATCCTATTTTAGAGGTATGTCAACAGGCAAAAATATGCAAAAATACTTTAGTGTGCAGCACAGCTCCATCTCTTACACTGGGTAGTTGATTTTTTCAAAAGTAAAGACTGTTTATATGCTTATATCATAAATCCCTGTAACACATCTGTATGCTAACTAAATTATACAGAATGCATTCCTCTTTCTTCAAGAAGCCTAAAAGTGTAGTTTCATTTAATTAACTACTGCAGATACCCAAGCTTGCATGCTGGTGAAGAGGTAAATATAAGTACAGAAGGGAAAAGACAGAGGATGGGGATCTTGCAGTGAAGATTGTCTTGTACCCATGACCCAGCCTGTGGGTCTGAACAGGGCTGTGACCCTTCTGTTTTCATGGTGACATGAGAAGATGAATCCTGAGCTTTTTTTGTGTTGCATCATGAAGTGCAAAAGGCTATGACCACAGATCTGTTTAGCAACCTGTCTGCTGACGGTGGCTCAAGAGGGGAGACCTGGAGCCTATAGCCATACCATAAGATGCTGTTATGAGGGTGGCATAGGTAACTTGATGAGACATGTTTTTATAGGATCCTAAGGATATGAGATTGGAAGGGACCTCAGGAGGTCTCCTATCAAACCTCTTACTAAGGCAGGGTCAACTATGAGGTCAGACCAGCTTACTCAGGGTGTTATCCAGTGAAGTCTTTAAAACCTCCAAGGATGGAGGTTGCACAACCTTTCTGGGCAACTTGTTCCACTGCTTCATTTTTCCCAATCTATGCCATTACTGCAGCACAGAAGGAGAATATGCTGTTTTTGAAGCGGCCTTTACTCCAGTGCCCCAAATTAATAGCTTTCCAGGCTTTAGCCATGACCAGCCAACAGGTTTACAGAACTACCAGCCCCTGTCTGGACTTGTGTTTAATGGGTGTGAGACATCATGCTATGCCTCATATTGTCTCCAAGTCCTCATCCTCATCAATATTGTCCTCATCAATAATTCTGTGCTCTCTATGTTCCTGGAGGGCAAACAGCTGAGGCAGAAAGGGCAAAATGTGGTTCACTCAGTGTGTGCACAGGTGTCGTCGTTGATACTATGATCAGTCATGATGTCCAAGTCCATTCCTGGTGGTGTGCAGGTCTCTGGGAGGCTGGGGGAGTGAGTGCCTCACTTAAACTATCTGGCATATTCTTGGACTGTCAGCAAATGCTACTCAGCTCCTATAGATCACAGCACCTGGTACTTTGGTCCTATCCAGTTTTAGAGTTTGTTGATCTGGTAGACCTATAAGGGTCACTTTATGGTTCCAGTCATCTCTGCTGGTGATTCAGAAGGGAGACACCATTCCCATCAGTACTTATATTAACACCTGTGTGGCATGAGGGGAGCTGCACTACAGGAGACCACAGGGCTGTGCTATGCCACCTGTGTGGGTGACTCAGCATGCAGGCAACATTTCCATGATTCAGCAGTGGCTCCAGGTCCCACTTGGGGGACAGAGAATTGCTCCACCTGGTCCCTGAGCTGTGCCTGTCAGTGAGTTGCCAGAAAGGTTCCTGTTCTTTCTCCTCATTTGTAGTTACTTGGGCACTCAGAAGTGGCCGCATTTCAGAGGTGGGTAAAGCAAGCCCTTCTCTGGCTGTCTGGTTTTCTGCAGGACAAGCTGTTGTTAGTATCCCTGTTACCTCTCCTACCACCTCTGCTTATGGGGACAGCTGCCTGTTTGCTGTTTACACTGTGTGCCTGGTGACATGCTTGGAATAATTTATAATGATTAATTGCTTGCTCAGCACTCTGCTGTGGAGCACCATGATGCTCTCTGATGGCAGGGAGGGCCAGCAGTGGGATGTCAGGGTGAGGCTGCTGTGTTAGTGCATGGTGAGGGACTGATCCCAGGCCCTGTGGATGTTTGCTTGCTCCTAGAAGTTTCTTAACTAATAACATCTCTTGGTGATAAGGATCAGTGGCATGGAGGGACACAACAGTGACAGGATGATTTAAACAGCCTTTCTGTGCTGCTTCACTTTCACAGACATCACAAATTAGATTAGCAGGGGTCTGAGGGAAGGGAAAAGGGGAAGCGGGGAACAGTGTGATGGAGGAAGGGGAAAGGGAACCCATGTTCATTCTGGTCAGCAGATGAACAGTCTGAGTCTCCTCCCACCTGTTCTCCTTTAGGTCCTGCTGCCATCCATGGATGAAAACACCTGAGTCTCCTCCAAAGTCTCTCACCCACCCCAGCAGCTCTTTTCATGCCTTCCCTGTGAATGCCTGTTTGCTCCTATCTGATGTTTCACTTTCTTCCTCATTACCAGAAACCCCATTCTTACCCATAAGTATTATATTCTCTTTTTTTATGCCAGGCAAGTGTTCTTAACCCCTGACCCTGCAAACACCTTCATGGTGCCCCCTGCATGGATCCTTCCATGAATGCCCAGGGTCAGCCTGTGGTGGATGCCAGCAGCTACCCTGCGTGTTTGTCAGCATGGGGACCTGCAAGAGCTCTGCATGGGGACACTGGAAGATACCAGACCCTTGCTTCCCAGTGTTGGCACGTGGGGGCTGCCTCCCCTCCCCAGCAGGCACCCTGCTGTGGATGGCAGTGTGTGTCCATCTCCTGTCTCCTCACAGATCTCTCGAAACCTGGGAAAGCTTTACAGTGAAATGATATTTGTGAATGGATTTGTGCACTGTGACCCACACCCAGGCAATGTGCTAGTGAAGAAATGCCCAGCCTCTGGCAAGGCCCACATCATCCTCCTGGACCATGGGCTCTACCAGGTACGTAGCTATGGGGGGCTTGAAGGGCATTGTGAGGCTGCCTGTGGGCATCAGGCTGAAAGAGCACACCCAGCTGCAACCTTGCCTCCCCAAGACCCTATTTTTCCTATTAGTCCCATAACATTCCAAGGATAGTTCCTGGCTCTGAAATGGGGGATAGGGCACAGCTAGGGGGCACAAGGCTTTTCCCCCACAGTTCCCTGTTCTCCGTGTTCTTCTGGGGGTTGTGTCTCCCTCCCCAGGTGCTGAGCGAGTCATTCCGCATGGACTACTGCCGCCTTTGGCAAGCCCTTATTAAGGCTGATATGAAGCGGGTGCAGAAGTACAGCCGGCGGCTTGGGGCAGGGGATTTGTACCCTCTTTTCGCCTGCATGCTGACTGCCAGATCCTGGGAGTCTGTCAACAGGGGCATTGACCGATCGCCAGTCTCAGCCAGCGAGGTAGGTCTGATGTGCCCTTCCCTATCATGTGCCCTTCCTTCTCCTTGGGTGTCCGTCTTTGTTGTAATCATTTGTACCACTGATACTGCAGTGATGCTGGGCAACCCCTGGCAACTCTGTAGCCAATTCTGCTTTGATGGCTGAGCTAGAAAAAGCCAGGACTCATTCTGCAGTGTGTTTATAGTGGCTGAACTTAATTTCCCATTTTCACTTGTCATGGGCTGCTTAAATTTTGTGTAATATTTTAATGGCTAAGTGTTCACCAGTTCTGGCAGGGGAAACATTTGTGGATCAGCCTTTTCTTAAAAAAGTGTTGAATGCAGCTGTGCAGGGAACCATCAAGGAGGATAGGTTAAGGTAGAGGAGACATAAAGACTTAGTGGGAAGACATGAGAAGGATAATGCATTATTGCTATTCATGTAAATGACTATCAGCACTGATACAAACTCCTAAAAACCCTTGGAAATTACCACCCAATCAGAAACCCTATTAACTTGGAGTCAAGGTTGCTTAACTGCAGATCCTGTCAGTTCAATCACTACAAATCTAGGAAATTGCCACTTATATTCTCCACCCTTTCCTATCCACACATACTAGGGTCCTCCTCACGTCTCCTCGCACTTCTGACACACACACACACCACCTTAAGAATAGTAGCAGCCCCTGCCAATTGTGCTGGTTTTAGGAATGAACATATAATGGTATGACTTCAGCCAATGGACTAGTGTCTGTAGGCAGAAGGATGGTTGTACCTATGGTTTGTTTTTATATGCATGCATTTGTAGTCGAGCGGATGAAATTCATTTAAGTAGTGTTATAGTCCTGTGAAATTATTTTCTGGAAATTCCTTTGGGTTGGCATTTCATTTTGATGGATGTGGCAGAATTTGCTGAACTGGTTTGCCATTATACATAGCAATGAGTAGGTCAGATACCTTGGGTAATGGACCCCCCGACCCAGTAATTTGATTGTTTCCTACCCGAGTTAATTTTCTGCATATCAGAAATAATATAGTGACTGTCTAGCAGATCTGTGCTTGATCTGGCAATTTCTGGAGCTGGTAGCTCCAGAAAAAAATTCAGAGGCACCAAAGTGAATCAGCATGGAGCTGGTTCAGATACTACAAGGCCAGTGTCGAATTTGAGCTAATACACAATGTTTATCCTAAAGTGGCTTGTGAAGGTTATGCCAGAGGTGTAACTGCAGCCTCATGGTGCCTTGTGTGGGCTAGTGAACTTTGCCATTGAGTTGAATTGCATGTATGGAGCCAGCTCTGTTGTCTTTGCCTTCATGACTCAATACTGAAACTGGATAATCTTATAGCAGATAATGGGGAGCTGAGCAGATTTGCTGTGGCATTAGGAAATTAGCTGCTGCTTGCCGTTAGTTTAGAGGTGAATTTGAAGGATTGTATCAGCAGCAAGAGCCAAGCTCTGTGAAGGCAGGTACCATCAGCACAGAGCTCCAGAGACTGTGCTTGAGGATGCATCAACACAAGAGTAGCCTGTGAGACAAGGAAGCATCTCTCCTTAAACAATCTTATCTGTAGTGCTGTGTCCAGTCTGGGACACTGCATCTTGAGAAAGGTTTGATGAAACTGGAGCAAGTCCAGCAGGAAGCTACAAGGATTGGTGGTCAAGCAAATGCAATCCATGAGGTAAGTCTGAGCAAGTTAGGGCAAAAAAAGTCTAGAAGAGTGCAGTTCAAGAAGGGTTGTTACAGTGATTATCAAATCTGTTAAAGACTGCTGCAAACTGGACAAGAAGTAATGGGTTTAAATTCAGCGAAGGAGATTGGGTAATGACAAGGCCAGTGAAACGCTGGTGTGGATGGTCTGGGGAGTCTGAGTCCCATCACTGGAGAATTTTAGGAGCAGGCTAGGCAAATGTGTGAGGATTGCCATCGGTCAGGTTGTTCCTGGCTTCAGCCAACCCCAGGCAGCTGACCGCTCAGGGTGGCTGCTAACCTCATCTCATCTGATTTTATTATAGTGTTTTGCTGCATCCTGCAGCAGCCTCAGCAACTGCAGCCAAGGGGCTTTTCTCAGGTCCTGTGGCATAGCTTATTTTTTCCTCTGTGCATAGGCTTCGCCCTTGACATAAAATGACAGTTCTGATGACAGATCATGTGGTTGTTTTGTGATGTGGACAAGCACTGGAGCTAAAAATAAATAGAAAAGAAATAGAAAACCTATGTGTGGAAAATAAAGTAGTCTCTGCAGTGATGCTGGCTAGGATAAGGGATAAGAGATAATCAGGGAGGAATTTTCTGCCAACAAGTAATGGAACAAAACATTTAACATTTAGGAGAACTAAGTGTCTTGATGATGAAGCTTTGTGTATTTGGTCAGTGGCAGAGGCAGGAGGACACAAAGATATATTTGTAAACAGCAAAGCAACCATGGTGGTGTGAGCTGTATACATCTCTGACCATCACAACCAGCACACTCGATTTGTGCAGGTCTGTTCCTTTATAATAAGTCTGATGTTCACAAAGAGTGAGTGTGAGATCCCATATCGTGAAATATAGGCTGGCCAGCCCTCATTCCAGAGGAGAGAAGGTGTCCTTTCCCTTTCCCACAAAGGAGCCTTCCTCCTATAAGAAGTAATTTACTGCCTCTACATATGTCTGCTGGATTCTGGACATTTCAGATGTTCCAGGAACTTTTATTTGGATTTGCTGATTCATGTCATGGCCTCTGTAGAAAAAGGTAGGGACACAGTATGTGTATGGGATCAGCTCCACACCATGCAGTGCTATATTTACTGTGATGCTGGGGGAACTCTCAGATCTAAAAAGAGACAGAAGAGTGGGGGCTGGCTGTCTTGCATGCTATTGGTGGCTCATGTTTGGAGAGGAGCCCGTCTTCAGTAGCTCAGGCTGTAGTCCATCAGTTATCACTGGGATCTTACTGTGACAGTGTATTTGTTGGAAGCTGGGAAGCCAAGGAACATGAAGGATCACCCTGTGTCTGCCTTGGTCTTACACTCCTTCCTTCCTTAAGCATCTGCTACTGGCTGCTGCTAGACAGGATATGGGGTCTAGATAGACCCTTAATCTGACAGATGACCATTTTTGATCTTTTGGGTTAGCATGACACTTAACTGCATAAACCCTTCTTACCTCTGCTGAGTTGTGTGGAGGACAGAGGATTAAACTAGGCCTTGAAAACAGCTTCATTAGTGTAGCATAAAGCCATCAGTTGCATGGACAGCAAGACAAGGAGCAACCTGGTTGTTCTTGCAGCATGCCTCAACCTTCCTGAGCAGTCCTCTGCTACCTGCAGCTTTCCCAGATTTGGGGCTGGTGAGGTGAGACTCAGTCAGAAGGCTGCAAGGGTAGTGAGACACGGTTGCTGCGAGCTGCCTGGGGCCAAGAACTGACATAGTGGTGCATGCCCTGTTCTCTTGAGGGTCTACTAGTCCTGCCAGTGAGGGGACGGGGCTTTATCTCACTGAGGGGCAGGTGGGATATGGCAGGACTGATCTGTGACTGTGCTGTGAGTCCTTGGGACAGCCAGGTGTCTGCAGGAAAGTAGGACAAAGAGTTCTTTATCTTCTGGCCTAGAGTCATGGTGTGGAAAAACACCATCTCCTCCTGCCAAATCTCAGCTGCATCTGGACCTGGGTTTCCCATGTACTCTCAGCTTCTCTTTTCTTTCTCCCTGACATGACCCGGCTGGCCGCAGGATGTGGAGATCCGGTCCAACGCTGCTGCTTACCTACCCCAGATCACCCAGCTTCTCAACAATGTCCCTCGCCAGATGCTGCTGCTTCTGAAGACCAATGACTTGTTAAGGGGGATTGAGTCAGCCCTGCACACACGGGCCAGTGCCAGCTCTTTCCTCAACATGTCTCGCTGCTGCATCAGAGCCGTTTCCATGTGAGACTCTTCTCCAGACACCAGGGGCCAGACATGAAGCATCAGGGCCTATCTATCTGTCCCCGGGGGCCAGGATTTGGGGGGATCCCAGAACCAGCAAGCCAGCCAGGTCCAGTCACACAGTAGCTGAGTAAGGCAAGCAGGACAGACCCTGAGATGGTGGTCAGGTCCCATCAAAAGTCCAGCTCAAAAGTCAGACTAAAAAGTCAATCTGTAGATCAGGTCTGGTGGTTTTCAGGCAGGTCCATGGTGACAAGACAAGGTCCAGGTCAAGGGGCTTCAAGTAGGGCATGAGATGGGGACCATTACTGCTCCAGTGTAGCTCAGGCAGGGACTGGTGGTGCAGGCCTGAGATTAACTGGAGCTTCTGGGCCTCTGAGCAGAGGATTGGGGGAGCTCTCAGGCTAGTCAGGGCTGTTAAGGCTTATTAGAGCCCCCACTCAGGACCCTGACAAGGCCTAACTTGACCTCTTGACCTCTTACTCTTAGCTCTAGACCTCTTCCCCTCACTAGCACATCTGCTGTGGTCCTACCCCTGCTCAGTCACACATCTCAGCCTCTGTGCTGTTCTCACGCCCATCAGTCTCTCCAGAGGACAGGTCTGTCACCCTGGGGCTGGGGACAGGGATGGAGTTGGAAGCCTTAGGGTAAGGGTTTAGGATTTGGTCCCTCCAGATTAGGGGAAGGGGCTTCCTGCCCATTACAGATGTCACCACTGGGAAGTATTTGTGGGTAGAAAAGATCTGCAAGTTCACTGCTGTCAGTTTCTGCAGCCTGATTGAGGGTCCCGGGCTGACTGTGAAGATCAGGCTGATGTTTAAAAGCCAGGAACAGGAGTCATGCAAGTGATTTCCATTTGTGAGTCTTATGAGTCAATGCACTTCTGCCTTCAGTTTCCTCCTCCATGAGAAGAAATAACAGTTATTTCTCTGGCTGATGAGGGACCTGTGAAGCCCAGTTAACCTCTGCCTCTGAAGAAGGGTGGAGAATTACTTTTACTGGAATCAGTGTGTCAGGATTGCTGGACTCTTAGAAGTGTGCTACCAGGAAAGGCTGTAGGAGTGTGGACCTGTCCCTTTTAGCTGATGTGAAGCTGGGCATAGAAGTAGAGGGTGCCATGGCCCGAGGCCACTACATGCAGTGGGGAGAGAACTGGGCTCACAAGGGAGCAGGCTGTGTCTTCTGCCAGTTTTGTGCTAGGAAGGCAGCCCCAGCTCCTCAGGAACATTACTTGGGGAAAATCCCTACTGCCAGGGGTCCCCACTGCTGGTGGTTCTACAGATGTGGGACATTCCCTTCCCCTGGGTGGAGGGTCAGCTGTACCGAAGATATGGGACAGGACTCCTTCCCACCTGTCAGCATCGTGCTGGATCTAATGCAGCTGTTTCTCTCATTCTAGGTACCAGAGGAGCAGGAGCCATTCACTTTATAGAAGAGCCCAGATCTCACTCACAGAAGCCCTGAGCCTGTGGCAGATCAACTTGTATGAACTCTTCCTGTGGCTGAAGGGGTCCCAGCTGGGGAACTGGGTCACTGCTCTCCTGAGCTGGATGCACCATTCCACATACTGACATGAACTGGTGGGAGAGGCCTGACTGCTCCCTCTGTCCCTTCTCTCCACAGCACATTTGCCTTTCTGACTGTTTCTGTCTATTCTGTGGGCTATTCTGGGGTTTTCTTCCAAGTTATATCTGCACTCACTGTCCTTGCTTGTTACAGCATTAGCTTTCTCTGTGGCACTGAGAGCTGGAGTCAGTACCGGAGCTCTGCTGTTTCATGGTATAGGAAAAAGAGGTGCAGGTTTCCATGTGTCTGGAAGGGCAGGGTACTTTTATTCCCCATCTGATCAGGGGACATTCCACTCAGATTCCAGTGGGACTGTGCTGGAAGCAAAAGCCTCTCCTTGGCTCACTCTTAAACAATCTTACAGAATTTAAGAGAATTCCAACTCTGCCTAGAATGCCCCAAAACATTTCTCAGACCCTCAGAGAGAGGTTAGTAAGTCTGTTTAAAATCCAATAGAGTTTATATAAGTTTTTGCAGTCTCCTTAGTCTGATTTCTGTTCAGGTGTGCAGATAGTTTCTCAGAGGAGTTGAGACCTTGTAGAGAGCTGGCAATAAGCTTTCCTCTCCCAGCACCAGGGAAAGGGGACTGTAATGGTGAGAGTGGTGGACTGGGAGTTGGGCTTTTTGAGGTTCACCTCCAGTCCAGTCAGCAAGTGCCTCTGTGTTTTTGGACTTCTTGGCCTGTTTCCTTGCAGGTGAAATGGATGAAGGGGACAGTGGTTCTGCCTCTTTACCAAAATTCAGGCAAGGCAGGGGGAATGACAACTCAGTGCTCTGAAACTGCTGGTAATGTAATGTGTTCTGTACAGTACTGCCACACAGCAAAATAAATGTGTTGTATCGAAGACCTTTGTGGGAGGGATGCTTGCCTGTGCACTCAGGGTGACATTTGGACCTCTAACCTCAGTCCTGTTTCCACTTCTCCACTGAGTGAGTGATGTCAGGCAGTGCTGTTAACTCCTTGCAAGCCAAATGAAACCTCTTCCTAAGAGGTTTGTTCCACATGAGTCCTCTTGTGCTGCATCAGATGTGTGTTGGCATACGATGGAGAAGCAGGTGTCATTCTGCTGGGAAGACACACTACTCTTTGCCACCTGGATCCACGCTGAGCCTGCTTCCTCCTTTCCTGTGGGAGCCTGCTGCAGCGCATGTGTGAGATGTCACCATCCCCGTGCCACTCACTGAACATTTCACCTAATCCCTGCCTGTGATGTTTCACTGCTTCTGCCTCAGGTGAAAACCTTGGTGGTGCAAGTGACAGGTCTGATGGCTCTGACTCTACAGCTCTGTCCACCCAGAGGCCTCCATTATGTGAAACATATTTGGGATCCTGGGAGATATCCTTGCTGCTTGTGAGGATTCCTGTAGCCAGGAAGGGTGGATGGAGGTGACTGCTCATATCGTTTCAGCTTTCTTACAAACTGTCTTGGTGAAAGGGGACACGAAGGACAGGATGGGAATGTCTTTCTACTGCCATCAAGCTTGCTAAGCTGAGGGTCATTACTCAGGCAGCAGGCTGTGCCCAAGAGCAAGCTAGGAGAAGACCATTCACTTCCAGTTTGCATGCGGTTTCCCAGCTTGCATGGGTGTGAGACTCCACCTTTCAGGGAGTCTGTTTGCATGGGAAGGGAAGCAGGGGGCAGAGTGTGAGTGAGTGTCAGTGCCTGAGGGACCAGTTCTCTTGCTGGCTGTGTGGGAGAGGGAAGGGATGTAATCCAGAAAAGGTACCTGACTGCAGGTGTGCTTGGGCGTGATGAGTTAGTGACTGTGGATGTGTGGCTTATAACAGTGACTGTGTACATGTGCAAGAGTGTAGGCACAGCTGCCTGGCTCAGGACTGTACAGAAGTGGTGTATTTATTGTGGTGTATTTTATATATAATTGGCAGAGTTCTGGATGGGGAATTACTGAACCTGGGTTTTTGGTCTCCTGTGCAGTCAATCTCCTGACCCTGGCATTAATTCTCCGAGCCCTTCCTACTATGGGGACAGCAGCATGAGTGGATGCTCTCCCATGTTTGCTAAAAGCAAAAAAAAGAAACCCCGGTAAGACTGATTGTCCTCACAGAGGTTGTCTTCAACCTGTGCAATGACAAGATCAGAGATTCCCCTGACTTCTGGGTTGTGTGATGGTGTCATGGTGGTAACCACGGTGATAAAACTCCTGAGTTGACAAGGAGTCATAGGGGCCCTGGAGTATTGATCCTGCAGCCTGTACATGAGTAGTCTTTGCTCATGTGAGCAGTCTGGATGAATCAGTGCCTTGCTTAGGCAGTTACAGATTGTAGGCTGGCCAGTGTGGGTGGTCCTGTCTTCTCATGAGCAGAGCTCCTTTCATAAAATTGGCCTGGTGCACCCAGTAAAGTCCAGGAGACCCTCTGGCAATGTTCACTGCACATCATTGTCTTGTAGCTGCTCCTGTAAATGACTGCCTATCTATGTCTGAATATACTGACCAGAGCACTGTTTGGGTCTCACTAATATCTGTGTGTGAAAGCTCATCACACAGTGGGATCCTGATTGTATCCCTCGTTTCCAGAGGATCCTGTGTTGTGGAGAGGCTCCCTGCAGCTGGCATTTGCATTGACTGCCAAGCCCCTAGCCCACTCTTGGCCATGCCTGCTCTTTCACCTCTCCAAAATCCCACCATGAGACTGTTAGTCCTCCTGCCTAGGGAAGGTTCTGGCTCTAAAAGTGGTAGGGAACCAGGAGCCCCTCAGACTGTTGGCTTTGGCAGCATGCAGCAGGCAGAGCATGGAGTGTATTTGGAAAAACTTTGTCTATCATCATTAGTCTTTGCCAGGAGGCTGCGTGCTTCAGTGTTAGCAGTGGGACTCCTCCATCAGTTGTGCTCAGCTTTCACCCTTCCCACAGTCAATCAATGAGGTTTTGCCTGAGGAAAGAACAAGCAAACACCTGAAGTCTCACCCTCTAACATTTCTGCCTTGTCTTTTTGCTGAAAGCTCTCAAAGGGTTGAAAGGGTTCTGAAAAGACACTTTCTCATCCCAATTTGTGGTTGTCAAACATGGGTAACCTGGATCAGCTCTGTGCACTTGGCCTCTCCTTCTAACCTGCATTTATTGGTGTTTTCACCACCAGCAAGCACAGCCTCTGCTGCTCCGTTTCCAGGCGGCACATGGGCTGCTGTCTGCCTGGCTTCATCTGTGAGCAAACAGAAGTTTGGTGCAGGCATTAAACATTGGCCCTGCAGCAGACTCATGAGCCCACTGACTCTTTCTTGGGACTGACAAGTGGTGTGTAAAAGCTGGGGTCAGAGGTGCAAAACTGATGGGCAACTTTCAGCTGCTCTAATAAGAAATTCTACATTGTAGTCTCATAGCATCTCCCATCCTAAAGGTTCTCAGTGCTCTCAGAAGTGTTGGGGAGCCAGCAGTCATTTCATCCAGCATTTAAATGTACTGTCATTAGGTTGGCTGGAGGTGGAAAATGGGGCAGTCAGGGTAAACAATGTTGCCAAGCAAAACTGCAAGAATTTAGGGTATGAAGTGGACATGCTTTTTGATATCCAGCTGAAGAAAAATCTAGAGAGCATTAGTCCAGGTTAAACACCAGAGTCTTTACCTAGCACATCCAGTGAACTTTAGTGGTGACAAGTGGGTGGTATATAGATTTGCAGATCAAGGCTGCATGGTGCCCTCTGCCATCTCACAGGGACGTATGACCCTCATGCAGTTGCAGTACAGAAGCTTTCCAGATGAATCACTCCCTGCTTCCCATAGCAAATGAACCGTGACCAGCATGCAGCCTGGCCAGTGCCAAAGTCATTCTCCTCACAAATGACTCCCCTAGGGTCGCCGGGGCTACCTTCCACTGCCTTGCTTGGCAGGGCTCTTCCCCCACCACTGCTGCATATCTCTGTGTCCTCCTGGCACCATTGTCCCCCACCTGTACCTGTACTGAGTCCAAAGAGGTGTGGGCAGGCTGCAGGGTCCTGGAGTGTGCAAGGAGCTGTCACACATGGTGGGTTGTGCCAGGACACTGGGCATTCAGATGGGAGCAGAGAGTCTGGAGGGTGCAGCCCTCGGGGAATCCAGTACCTTCCTCCTTCATCCCCTGACAACTGGATGGGTAGAAAGGGGAGAGGGAGCAGACATTTCTCCTTGGCTCTTCTCTAGTAGTAAGAGGTTTGGGCTGGCTCCTGCTCCTGCAGCCCGAGCTCTGGCCATCCCCATCTCACCCAGGGGATGTGCTTGTCCTGGGTGATGGCGAGAAGTCTGTATTAAGGCTTTCAAATGGCACAGAGCAAACAGTGCTGAGGTAAGGGGAGAGTGCAGGCTGAGGCCATGCTCTGTGCTGAGAGGGAGAGTTTGCTGGTGCTGCTGAGCTGGGAGGTAGGAAGGATACTTCAGAGTCTCTTAGCCCTTGGGGTAAATCCAGGTCTATTTGGGGCTGCTGATCCTCTGACAACTAGAATAGAGGTAACAAGGTGGAGTAGGGAAGGAGCAACTGGAGCCTGTGAGTTTGCTTATCACCTCCCTCTTAATGTCTGCAGCAAAGCGGTGGAAGGGCTGCTCTCTGTTCTGCACCAAAGAGCCATCTCCCACCTGCTACCTGCAGGGTTAGCAGGTCTCGGTTCCTGTAGGAGCAGAGCAGCCCCCCAGGAATCCTGCTGTCCCCCTGCTGCCCCCACTTCGGGCTCCTGGGCCACACACCTCTGCAGCTTTGCACCTTGGATAAGGCTGTAGCAGTGCTAGAGGCCAGGACCTCCAAAGCTCCCCGGGGGGAGTGCCCTGGCTGGGAGGTGTCAGCAGCTGATGTCTCTGGGGGCAGGCTTCTGCCACCACTCCATGATCACTGCCTCATGCTATGCTGTGTAGAATGAGTCTGTAAGGCCCAAAGGCTTTCTGCTCCTTCCCATTGCCAGTCTTCGTGTGTGCTGGCCCTGGGGGGTGGTTGCCATCCTACCCCTGTTGTTTGCTAGAGACTCGGCCTCAGCTGCTTTGCTGCAGTGGGGCGATAGTCGGTGGTTAGCAGAGGCGTTGGTGCACTCGCCAGGCAGCAAACTGCTCTTTGAAGAGCAGCAGAGTATGTGTGTGATTTTGTGTGTTCACAGCAAAAAATTTTTGCTATTGAGGGCTTGAGGTTTGGGGACGGGAGGGGTGGAGGGTTGCAGAAAGGAAAGGGTAAGGATAGGGTGGGGTGTCCCCTACCTTTCAGGAGTAAATACCAAAACTCAGCATGGCTCTAAATGGACTTGTGATCATTAAATGCTTCTAGACTGCACTCTCTGCTTTTTGTTTCAGAGGTTGCCTAGACACTGTGGCAGGTGAGTTGCTGTCTCTGGCATGATGAAGTGCTCCCCATTCCTCCTGCCACCCCATGTACCAGTGCAGTATCTGCTGAGGTGCAGCGGTCTCTGTGAGGCGCTCCAGAGCCTTTTTAGGGCTGTCTCCTGTGACTGTTTTCCCTCCCTCCCCAGGTGGGACTTGTAGGCTTTTCTTAGTTGTTGTTCCAGCTAGTGAGCCAGCAGCTGTCACTCTGCTGAGGATGACAGGGTGGCGGCTGCAAGGCTCCGGTTGGGAGGCAGCCTGAGTCCCCATTCCACCAGGCCACTGAGCTGCCTGCAGGGTGGGGTCATCCTCCTTCCTCCAGCAGTTGCTCAAGTGCTGTGCAGGACTGTAAAAGAGCTGGACAGTGAAAGATTGACATTTGTAATTAATTATCCTTTTGACAAAAAATATCCTGTCCAAGCATCATACAGGTGATAGTGATGTCCCTTAACATCTTACTCCACGAGGTATCACTAGGACCTTTTAGCTGAAAAGACAATCTATTAGTGGAGTACCAATCCTGCTGAAAAGGAGCAGGAAGGGGTTACAGAAGACCCTAAGTAACCATGAGCTTGCAGTGGAAACCATGACCTGGCCTGCATCAGGAGGAATGTGTCTGTACTCCTCTACTTGGTGCTGCTGAGTCCACTCCTGAAACAGTGCCCTCTTTTGGTTTTCTTAGTTGAAGAAGGATGTTGAAAAACTGGATTGGATCTGGTGGAGGGCACATGGCATGGTCAGGACTTACTGCCTATAGCCTTCGAGGGAGATGGGCTTGTTTCCTCTGGCAATGAAGAAACAAAAGGATGAGCTGATAATGGCCGGTGACTCTTTGAAAGGGAGTTAGAGAGGCAAGAGAGCCAAACTCCTTCTGGCAGTGCCAGATGACTTAGCAGGGGCTGGTGGACACAAGTTGCAGCTTGGATAGTTAGACTG